ATATATATATATACACATGTGTATAAAATCTGTCCATCTGCGTACACGGATAGATTCCAGACAATACGGGTGCTTACTTGGGGCGCAAAGTGGCCTTAACTCGGAGTCAAAGCCAGGCCCTCAAGCCTCAGCTGAGAAAGGCCAGCTGGAACACCGAAGCCGCGAAGCCCGAACATCAAACCTCAAACAGCAAACTCCACATTTACATGTTGTCGTTGATGGTTCAGGCTGTAGGCATCGACACCAATTTGGAAACTCGTTGGCCCATTCAGGCGCAGCGCAAGCCGTTCCTGGACGACCTGTCCAAGATTCAGTGCCGACCCCGAAACTGTGGCATTCAGGTGCTGAGGTTGTTACGTTCGGGAGTCCAGGGTTCGGGAGCCACAGCTAGCAGATGAACTGTGGCACAGGAGGACCTGGTCCGAAACCGATCCCTCTCAGCGTTCCCCCCTTGCAGACCCGGTGCCGCGAGATTGGCCCCCGAGACATGTCACAAGGGCGATGTGAATGTTTGGATGGGTTTGATCCTCAGCTGTACAGCACCCTTAATTCCTAGATCTTCCGCCCTCGAGCTTTGCCAACGTCTAAACACTGAACTAAGTCCTCATGCTTTGTGACTTTGTGACTTTTGTGCAACCACAGCCCGTAAATCCCAAACAATACTCCCACCCTTAATCGACTGTACTTCGCGAGATCCCTGGTTGAATCTGCAGGCTGAAGCCTTACACTTTCAAGCATGCAAAATGCTAGACCCAAGTCTCTCAACCGATCCGAGGGCCCGCGTTACCGCTGCCCATGTGGAGCTGGCGAAGCCTGCCCGGCCAGTGTGTGGAGCCCCTTTCGCCCTGCGGCAGAAGCAACAGACAATCTAGAAATCCCAATCCAACTCTGGACCCATCTAGAAGATCGAGACTGCAGTCTGGAGCCGAACGGTGGTGCCCAGCCCTTATTCTTGTTGTTGCTGTTGTGGTCATAAATAGTAGTAGTAGCAGTAGTAGTAGTAGTAGTAGTAGTAGTAGTAGTAGTAGGAGTAGCAATAGCAGTAGCAGTGGCAGTGGCAGTAGCAGTAGCAGTAGCAGTAGCAGTAGCAGCAGTAGCAGTAGCA